GGCAATGTGTTTATGTCTACATAGAAGACGAACAGGAAATGAATGATGAATACTGAAATGCTGATATAACTATGTATGTATAGTTATGTCTGTCTAAGTGTTAGCTCTTGTACATATTTCCATTATTTATGTATGTGTTCATTTTTGACGCATAAAGGTATTGTCAAATTGCTACTACCACTAACACATGCAACAACAACAACAAGAATAATACTACAATGTACGTGTTCTTTAATTTTTTTTTGTATAGTTTTTATACTCGTTTAATTTACTTTGGTATAAGAGTACGTGATTTTTTAGATTTAAATATGCATTTTTTCTTGTTAGTAATTTAAAATATCTAAATATTTGTTACATAGTTAGTTAGGAATTTTCCACCTTTGTATACAATATAATGTAATTCAAAGAATAATGAAAGCGAAATTATTTTGATGTAATGGCGATGTATAAATATTATAGCCTTTAGTTCAGTTCTAGTTGCGTTCTAGTTCAGTTCTAGTTCTGGTTCAGTTCTAGTTCAGCTCTAGTTCAGTTCTTGTTCAGTTCTAGTTCAGTTCTAGATCAGTTCTAGTTCAGTTCTAGTTCAGTTCTAGTTCAGTTCTAGTTCAGTTCTAGTTCAGTTCTAGTTCAGTTCTAGTTCAGTTCTAGTTCAGTTCTAGTTCAGTTCTAGTTCAGTTCTAGTTCAGTTCTAGTTCAGTTCTAGTTCAGTTCTAGTTCAGTTCTAGTTCAGTTCTAGTTCAGTCTAGTTCAGTTCTAGTTCAGTTCTAGTTCAGTTCTAGTTCAGTTCTAGTTCAGTTCTAGTTCAGTTCTAGTTCAGTTCTAGTTCAGTTCTAGTTCAGTTCTAGTTCAGTTCTAGTTCAGTTCTAGTTCAGTTCTAGTTCAGTTCTAGTTCAGGTCTAGTTCAGTTCTAGTTCTAGTTCAGTTCTAGTTCAGTCTAGTTCAGTTCTAGTTCAGTTCTAGTTCAGTTCTAGTTCAGTTCTAGTTCAGTTCTAGTTCAGTTCTAGTTCAGTTCTAGTTTCAGTTCTAGTTCATTTCTAGTTCAGTTCTAGGTTCAGTTCTAGTTCAGTTCTAGTTCAGTTCTAGTTCAGTTCTAGTTCAGTTCTAGTTCAGTTCTAGTTCAGTTCTAGTTCAGTTCTAGTTCAGTTCTAGTTCAGTTCTAGTTCAGTTCTAGTTCAGTTCTAGTTGCAGTTCTAGTTCAGTTCTAGTTCAGTTCTAGTTCAGTTCTAGTTCAGTTCTAGTTCAGTTCTAGTTCAGTTCTAGTTCAGTTCTAGTTCAGTTCTAGTTCAGTTCTAGTTCAGTTCCTAGTTCAGTTTCTAGTTCAGTCTAGTTCAGTTCTAGTTCAGTTCTAGTTTCAGTTCTAGTTCAGTTCTAGTTCAGTTCTAGTTCAGTTCTAGTTCAGTTCTAGTTCAGTTCTAGTTCAGTTTCTAGTTCAGTTCTAGTTCAGTTCTAGTTCAGTTCTAGTTCAGTTCTAGTTCAGTTCTAGTTCAGTTCTAGTTCAGTTCTAGTTCAGTTCTAGTTCAGTTCTAGTTCAGTTCTAGTTCAGTTCTAGTTCAGTTCTAGTTCAGTTCTAGTTCAGTTCTAGTTCAGTTCTAGTTCAGTTCTAGTTCAGTTCTAGTTCAGTTCTAGTTCAGTTCTAGTTCAGTTCTAGTTCAGTTCTAGTTCAGTTCTAGTTCAGTTCTAGTTCAGTTCTAGTTCAGTTCTAGTTCAGTTCTAGTTCAGTTCTAGTTCAGTTCTAGTTCAGTTCTAGTTCAGTTCTAGTTAAGTTCTAGTTCAGTTCTAGTTCAGTTAAACAAATTTCTCAATTTATAAAAAAGAAAGTCCTTTAAAAACAGACAATTTGAAAAAAAATACACAATTGACGAAGAAATCAACAAAAGTTTTTTGCGTTCTTTAACATAAAACTTTTTAAGTCAAACATTTATGTACGTTGGTTAATGAAGATATCTTCATTTGGCTGCAAAAATTTCTTTAATACAAACATACATAAACATTTTATTTAATAATTTTATAAGTTATTTTTACAAATAAATAATACTAATTACATCCTTTGTAAATTTATGCCGGATGCTTTTATGCATATGCGTTTTTATACACTTCTGTTTGAATTTTACTACATTTCCTGCTGCATATTTTCTGTCATGCCTGAACTTTATGAGTGTATGATTGTATGATTAAACAGTACAGCCCGGTGTTTTGAAGTGTATGTGGAACATTTCAATGAATTATCATTACATAAATACATACATAATACTGCTTAAGAGGTACATATTGAACCCTTTTTTAACAGCTGGGCTGCCTTTGCTTGTATATAATATTACTTTAAGTGGTTAAAAGAAAAGAGTAATAATAAAAAATAAAAAAATAAAAAAAACAATATGCATTTTTATTTGCAACAGCAACAACCACACAATAAATTAACCTGTGGTTTGGTAGTCAGTCATATACAAATGTTCATATTTGGTTTAATAACCGTAAGAATACAAAAAAATACATAGACAATATGTGCGTATGTGTGTATCTGTGTTCCTGTATTTCAGAAATTACCAAAGTTTCTGCAAATATTTTTACGACTCAATGAAAAAACACGAAATTCTTTTGTATGAAATACGCTAAGAAATTCCTGATATTATTATTACAAATGGCTGATAAAAGTGGCTTTTATAGGGAATTTTTTAAATAAACTTTAATTTAAAATCATAGCTGAAGTATTGTTGTAGTCTAGAAAAGTTCGATAAATTTTTTTTTGAATTTTAAAGACAAATCTTCTATAAATTCATTTTTTTAAATTACCTTAACTTAACTCCTTTAAGTGAATAAACGTCAAATATAAACACACTCATCTAGGAGTTTGTCTCTTTGTCTCCCAAAGCTGTTGATAAATGTAATCTTTATGTTTACACCCTGACTAAACGGGCAAATATTGGAGGAGTACGATGAATCTCAACACAGGATATGTTTTTGTTTATTTGTTTAAACAAGTACTTGCACGTTATCAGTCAAGTAAACAGCTACAATATCAACAGTAAAACAACATTCTCACAAAATGGGAATAAAAATTACACAGACAAGCTAAAATGCAACAATAAAACACAACACATACATATGCACGAATGCATCCTTCATACAAGGACTCAACACACCGGTAGTGTTTCTATATCCTGTAAGCAACTGTTACAGTCATGTGAAAAGAGAGAAAAAAACAAAATGACGAAATCAAATGGTGCAGAATCATGGTAGCACGTGGTTGGGACAATTTTTTTCCATTCTCTAGGGTACTAACATCATGTAAATGCATGTAGTGTTTCAATAAAAAAAGTACATCATATTCGAGTGAAAAGGAGTTTGTGTTGCCAAAGTAACAGTGATATGTTGCTTTATATTGTGTTGCAAGTATGTATTCATACTTGCAACAAAAAAAAACGACCAACCATAGTGAATAACAATCAAAATTCTAAGCTTAACAGGATTTGAAGACATTTTTTTACTCTAGCACTTTCATATACAGATTTCACATGCTGTAGTATGAGACCAAGTACCCTCAGACCATCAAAACCATGTTCATTATGATTCTAGCTAAGAATCATTATGATGTGGTAATTGAGGATAGAAGCTGAAGGTAGAAAGAGCTAAAACTTATATAAACTGATGATTTATCAAAAGGATGTGTAACAAGAAATTTTCTCTTGTCTATAGAAAATTTTCGGAAATTTTCTCTTTTCTATAGAAAACTTTCGGAAATTTTCTTTTCTATAGAAAATTTTCGGAAATTATCTCTTTTCTATAGAAAATTTTCGGAAATTATCTCTTTTCTATAGAAAATTTTCGGAAAATTTCTCCTTTCTATAGAAAATTTTCGGAAAATTTCTCCTTTCTATAGAAAATTTTCGGAAAATTTCTCCTTTCTATACAAAATTTTCGGAAAATTTCTCCTTTCTATAGAAAATTTTCGGAAAATTTCTCCTTTCTATAGAAAATTTTCGGAGAATTTCTCCTTTCTATAGAAAATTTTCGGAAAATTTCTCTTTTCTATAGAACATTTTCGGAAAATTTCTCTTTTCTATAGAACATTTTCGGAAAATTTCTCTTTTCTATAGAACATTTTCGGAAAATTTCTCTTTTCTATAGAACATTTTAAGAAAATTTCTCTTTTCTATAGAACATTTTCGGAAAATTTCTCTTTTCTATAGAACATTTTCGGAAAATTTCTCTTTTCTATAGAAAATTGTCGGAAAATTTCTCTTTTCTATAGAAAATTTTCGGAAAATTTCTCCTTTCTATAGAAAATTTTCGGAGAATTTCTCCTTTCTATAGAAATTTTCGGAGAATTTCTCCTTTCTATAGAAAATTTTCGGAAAATTTATCTTTTCTATAGAACATTTTCGGAAAATTTCTCTTTTCTATAGAACATTTTCGGAAAATTTCTCTTTTCTATAGAACATTTTCGGAAAATTTCTCTTTTCTATAGAACATTTTCGGAAAATTTCTCTTTCTATAGAAAATTTTCAAAATTATTTATTTATTAGAGAAAATTTTCTTTGTAAAAATTCGCTAAAAACTTTACTGTTTTCATACTTTAAAATTAACTCGATAAAACAGAAAAAATATCTTGTGCAATGTTTTTGCACTAAATTAGATAAACATTAAAGAAATGCAGCCAAATTAAGGGAAATTCTTGGTAAGAAACTTGCGACAAAAAATAATTTATCCAAAAGGTAAATAAGCCAAGAGAAATGGTTACTCTTCTGCTCCCGTAAAGGTAACTAACCATCATAATTTTTTCACATTCAGCTCTTACTTGCCATTGTCTCTACAACTAGGGGTAATTAATGAGCTGTATTTAACTTTTTTATAACAATTTTTAACCTCAAGTTGTGTGCATTTTTTTCTTTTCTACATTTTAGCTCATGTATCTTAAATGTGGTTTTTACTGGCTTATAATAAAATGTATATGAATTTGTTGTATATATATTAAACAAAAAGAACAAGCATTTCTTACTTACAATGTATACTTAAGGATATCCTTTTTGAAACCGATGGTGGTACACCATTTGATGCTATGCAAAGATATGAACCCATTTCATTGCGAGAAATTTTTGTTAGTTTTAATACCTCGCCACGATAAGAGGACACTAGATAAAAGAAAAAAGAAGAAAAATAAAATATATAAATTTAAAAGTGGTCAAAGTTGTTTAAAGTTTTTTATGGTTTAAATTATAAAACTAATTGTTTTTATTTTATATTATTACTTACCCATAGTTTTGGTGCCCACACTGTCTTTTAAAACAATTTCATTACCATCCTCACGACGCCATGTAACAATGGGTTCGGGGTAACCGCGAGCACTAGAAGTAAAAGACAAAATCAAAAATTAATTATGTGAAACAAATATACAAATGTATTTTAGCTATTTATTTCCCTCTAATTTAAAGACATTTTAACAAACAAAAACTCTTTCATATTTGGTCACGTTCAATTTACAACAATTACTTGTCTTACACTTACCAAAAGCATTAAAATCCTAATCAACAGCTACAATATATATTATCTACTTAACTAATACTAATCTTTTTGTTCTATATACTTTTTTATCTAATATATTTGTCTCAATACAAAATCCTTTACTTCCATCTTAAGTGACACCAGCTAAGAAAACTGAGAAAATATATTTATTATTTACTCTTTGTTAGAACGTTATCGCTAAGTAATCTTTAGTTATTTTAACTGTTTTTTTTTTTTTTTTTTGTTCTTTTAGAACATTTGATTCCATCATCAACTAAACCAACCAAGGAAGTTCATTTAATGTCAACAAATTAAATGACACTTCATTCTTTTTGATTTACGTTTCCGTTTGAGTTGACTAGGAACAACAATAACAACAACAACAACAGTTACAATTTACTACTACAAATACTTTTACTGTTAGTATGCTTTTACTGTTGCTGCTGCTGCTGTCACCAGTGAAAGGTTAACAGTAAGTGATTGTATTTGTATTAGTGTTGGAGAGGTTTAAATACAGAAAACTAAGTAGATTAATGTTTACTTGTATGTGTAAGTTTATATGTGTCTGCTGGCATAAAAAAGGTCATAAAAACATTTATGTATTTTATTTTTACTTCTTTTATATGTAACGGATACGGATGGTGAAGGGTCTGAGTTTTTTGTTTTTTTTTCCTATTCTTGGTTAGCTTTATTACTGTTGATTTATACATTTTTGTTAGCAGCTATAAAAATCTGTTTTACTGTTTTTGTATTTGTTTTACAGGCTTTTTCATTTAATTAACACACTTTCAGTAATAAGATATATAAATTTGAATGTATTTGTCACTGGACAAAATGTTAAAAATGTGAATGTGATTCAGACGAATTAGTTGATTTTATAATAATCAGCACAAAAATAACTTTCGAAGGAAAGATAACGAAGTCAGCAATCGTATATATATTAACAACAATATTTATAAAAATTTCCTATAGTTAGACTAGATTATAGACAAGACTATAGACTAGACTATAGACAAGACTATAGACAAACTATAGACTAGACTATAGACTAGACTATAGACTAGACTATAGACTAGACTATAGACTAGACTATAGACTAGACTATAGACTAGACTATAGACTAGACTATAGACTAGACTATAGACTAGACTATAGACTAGACTATAGACTAGACTATAGACTAGACTATAGACTAGACTATAGACTAGACTATAGACTAGACTATAGACTAGACTATAGACTAGACTATAGACTAGACTATAGACTAGACTATAGACTAGACTATAGACTAGACTATAGACTAGACTATAGACTAGACTATAGACTAGACTATAGACTAGACTATAGACTAGACTATAGACTAGACTATAGACTAGACTATAGACTAGACTATAGACTAGACTATAGACTAGACTATAGACTAGACTATAGACTAGACTATAGACTAGACTATAGACTAGACTATAGACTAGACTATAGACTAGACTATAGACTAGACTATAGACTAGACTATAGACTAGACTATAGACTAGACTATAGACTAGACTATAGACTAGACTATAGACTAGACTATAGACTAGACTATAGACTAGACTATAGACTAGACTATAGACTAGACTATAGACTAGACTATAGACTAGACTATAGACTAGACTATAGACTAGACTATAGACTAGACTATAGACTAGACTATAGACTAGACTATAGACTAGACTATAGACTAGACTATAGACTAGACTATAGACTAGACTATAGACTAGACTATAGACTAGACTATAGACTAGACTATAGACTAGACTATAGACTAGACTATAGACTAGACTATAGACTAGACTATAGACTAGACTATAGACTAGACTATAGACTAGACTATAGACTAGACTATAGACTAGACTATAGACTAGACTATAGACTAGACTATAGACTAGACTATAGACTAGACTATAGACTAGACTATAGACTAGACTATAGACTAGACTATAGACTAGACTATAGACTAGACTATAGACTAGACTATAGACTAGACTATAGACTAGACTATAGACTAGACTATAGACTAGACTATAGACTAGACTATAGACTAGACTATAGACTAGACTATAGACTAGACTATAGACTAGACTATAGACTAGACTATAGACTAGACTATAGACTAGACTATAGACTAGACTATAGGTTAGAATATAGACTAGACTATAGACTAGACTATAGACTAGACTATAGACTAGACTATAGACTAGACTATAGACTAGACTATAGACTAGACTATAGACTAGACTATAGACTAGACTATAGACTAGACTATAGACTAGACTATAGACTAGACTATAGACTAGACTATAGACTAGACTATAGACTAGACTATAGACTAGACTATAGACTAGACTATAGACTAGACTATAGACTAGACTATAGACTAGACTATAGACTAGACTATAGACTAGACTATAGACTAGACTATAGACTAGACTATAGACTAGACTATAGACTAGACTATAGACTAGACTATAGACTAGACTATAGACTAGACTAGACTATAGACTAGATCGATAGACTAGACTATTAACTAGACTATAGACTAGACTATAGACTAGACTATAAGACTAGACTATAGACTAGACTATAGACTAGACTATAGACTAGACTATAGACTAGACTATAGACTTAGACTATAGACTAGACTATAGACTAGACTAGCTAGACCTTGACTAGACTATAGACTAGACTATAGACTAGAACTATAGACTAGACCTATAAGACTAGACTAATAGACTAGACTATAGACTAGACTATAGACTAACTATACTAGACTATAGACTAGACTATAGACTAGACTATAGACTAGACTATAGACTAGACTATAGACTAGACTATAGACTAGACTATAGACTAGACTATAGACTAGACTATAGACTAGACTATAGACTAGACTAATAGACTAGACTAGACTATAGACTAGACTATAGACTAGACTATAGACTAGACTATAGACTAGACTATAGACTAGACTATAGACTAGACTATAGACTAGACTATAGACTAGACTATAGACTAGACTATGACTAGACTAAGGACTAGACTATAGACTAGACTATAGACTAGGACTATAGACTAGGACTATAAAGACTAGACCTATAGACTAGACTATAGACTAGACTATAGACTAGGACTATAGACTAGACTATAGGACTAGACTATAGGACTAGACTATAGGACTAGACTATAGACTAGACTATAGGACTAGGACTATAATAGACTATAGACTAGGCTAGACGAGACTATAGACTAGACTATAGACTAGACTATAGACTAGACTATAGACTAGACTATAGACGAGACTATAGACTAGACTATAGACTAGACTATAGACTAGACTAGACTAGACTATAGACTAGACTATAGACTAGACTATAGACTAGACTATAGGACTAGGACTATAGGACTAGACTATAGACTAGGACTATAGACTAGACTATAGACTAGACTATAGACTACACTAGACTATAGACTAGACTATAGACTAGACTATAGACTAGACTATAGACTAGACTATAGCCTAGACTATAGACTTAGACTATAGACTAGACTATAGACTAGACTATCGACTAGACTATAGACTAGACTAATAGAACCTAGACTATAGAATAGGACTCTAGGACTAGACTTAGACTAGACTATAGACTAGACTATAGACTAGACTATAGACTAGACTATAGACTAGACTATAGACTAGACTATAGACTAGACTATAGACTAGACTATAGACTAGACTATAGACTAGACTATAGACTAGACTATAGACTAGACTATAGACTAGACTATAGACTAGACTATAGACTAGACTATAGACTAGACTATAGACTAGACTATAGACTAGACTATAGACTAGACTATAGACTAGACTATAGACTAGGCTATAGACTAGACTATAGACTAGACTATAGACTAGACTATAGACTAGACTATAGACTAGACTATAGACTAGACTATAGACTAGACTATAGACTAGACTATAGACTAGACTATAGACTAGACTATAGACTAGACTATAGACTAGACTATAGACTAGACTATAGACTAGACTATAGACTAGACTATAGACTAGACTATAGACTAGACTATAGACTAGACTATAGACTAGACTATAGACTAGACTATAGACTAGACTATAGACTAGACTATAGACTAGACTATAGACTAGACTATAGACTAGACTATAGACTAGACTATAGACTAGACTATAGACTAGACTATAGACTAGACTATAGACTAGACTATAGACTAGACTATAGACTAGACTATAGACTAGACTATAGACTAGACTATAGACTAGACTATAGACTAGACTATAGACTAGACTATAGACTAGACTATAGACTAGACTAAGACTAGACTATAGACTAGACTATAGACTAGATTATAGACTAGAATATAGACTAGATTATAGACTAGAATATAGACTAGACTATAGACTAGACTATATACTAGACTATAGACTAGACTATAGACTAGACTATAGACTAGACTCTAGACTAGACTATAGACTAGACTATAGACTAGACTATAGACTAGACTCTAGACTAGACTATAGACTAGACTATAGACTATACTATAGACTTGACTGTAGACTAGACTATAGACTTGACTGTAGACTAGACTATAGACTAGACTATAGACTAGACTATAGACTAGACTATAGACTAGACTATAGACTAGACTATAGACTAGACTATAGACTAGACTATAGACTAGACTATAGACTAGACTATAGACTAGACTATAGACTAGACTATAGACTACACTAGACTATAGACTAGACTATAGACTAGACTATAGACTAGACTATAGACTAGACTATAGACTAGACTATAGACTAGACTATAGACTAGATTATAGACTAGTTTTTTTAAGTTTTTTCTTTTCTTTATGAATTCTCGAGCTTTTATACCTTTTAAGTGTCACATTTAAATGCTTAGTGATTTCATTTAAACGATTGAGGTAATTAAATACTTAATTAACGCTTTAATGTACTTATGAATTGTGGTTATAAATTTCGCTTAGTTTCGTTATCATATAAGTACTGGCAACGTGTTAATTGTCAAATATTATTAACTAATTAAATGTCAAATCAATTACAGTAATTGTGGTTGATGTGTGTAAATATGTTAAACATACTTAGATGGCGTAATAATTGTGGTTTTAACTTACCGACATGTTAGTTTAACAGAACTGCCTTCGGGCACTATGACATCGGATGAAGTATCTTCTGATACGAAATCGGGTGGTATGACAACATCAAGGAAACCAATCTGAAAATAAAAGTGAAAACATAAGTTAGGTTAGTGTGGTGGCGTATACTTAATATTTGATATTTGTGGTTGAAATATAACAATCATACGTAGTGGTGGGTGATTAGTATGAAATTTTTTAGCTTTAAAATTTAAATTATTTTCTTAATAATTTTTTATTTTTTATTTTAAACTAATTAAATAAAGTTAGCTTGAACTGAAATTTGTAGCTGCATATGTATTTAAGTAAAAATTTATTTTGGCAGAAGACAAATAAAATATTTCCAACAGCAAGTGCTAAACAATACTGTAATAAAACAACATTAAATAAATATATATCGAACACCAAATAATGATCACATATTATTAAACACATACACACATTTTCTTTCTGCTTTAACAGTTTTCCTTTCTCTGTTTTCATTTCCTTAACCAGAAAACTTTAAATAAACATAAACACTTCAATGTCCAACCAAGCGAAGTTTATGGCGCCAATAAAATGTATTTCATGCTTCCTTAATTTTTATATCAACATAATGGAATGAAATTCTATAACATTTGTTTTTTCGTTTTCCCGTAGCAAACACATATACATATGTATGGTATTGTGATACTGTGTAGATCTCCTTTTATATGGATGTTTCTCTAACATGTCCAATATGAAAACTTACGTTTCAATGGATTTTTGTATTGTTTTCCTAGACTAACAAACCAAACAACAACATTATTGTTGAATGTGAACTTTTTTGTTCATACCTTATGGACAGACAGTGGGAAAATGGTAAAAGGTTCATGTAATAATTTGTTATATACATGTTACATGAGGACTTTCCTAGGCAGGCTAATCTTGGGGCAAAAAAAATGTTTCAGTCGCAATGTATTTTTAAAAGAAATTAAATAAGGACAGTCCTTATATTATGTCTATGAATATTTTTTGAAGTTGTTTAAGTATTTGTCTGCGTGTTAAATTTTATTAGTGTGTTTGTTTATGTATTTTTATTTAAGTAATAATAAAAATGTTACGGTATTATATTATTGTTTGTTTATGTTTGAACATTACACGTTATTTGTTTGTTGATATTTGTTGTAATAACCCAGCAATATGTTGATATTGTAATGCAAAAATGATCACAAACAACAATATGAAATACATCTAAATAAAGGAATAATATTTCATTATAATATATTAGATCTGTTTGACTGTCTGACTTGATAGTTTAGGTAAAAAAACTGAAACTGAATATAATTTTAATATTTAAGAGAAAAAACCGCTGGGTTATAACCAACACATTCTTATAGAAACCTATAATTTTTATGCATTTTTTTACAATCAGTGACACTAGTTTATTTATACTTTCTTCATGTTGCAAATTGCATTTTTCTTCTAAGATTTGTGTTTTAGTGTGTTCATTTAATGTTGTTTGGTGTAATCATTGTTGTCTCGAGAATTTTTTTTATTTTTTTTTTTTTGTAATAGAAGTAAATCTTTATAATTTAATTAATTTTTTCGTGCATTTAGAAACAGTCTTTTAGATTACTCTCTACATTTTTATCTGAAGTTGTATATAATCTCTATGGCTATGTTCTATAATTTTGGCTGCAATCTCAACTTAAATCTGAAATATCTATAAACTCAACTGTGATATCTTTTATAGACTCCATTATAATTGCGCTAAAGTCGTCAGTTTAGTTTATAGTTATAGTGGATAATCTACTCTTTAGTCTCAGCTTTATTTTAGTCTAGCGATTATAGGCTCAGGACTTCCCCAGTCGTTTTTACCAGTTTTAAATTGTTGCTTGCAGTTATCTTTTTTCTACTTTTGCGGTGCTCAACATGCATCCATGTGCTTTCATGAGGCTTATTCATTTCTTTCACTTTATCCTCCGTCTTTTAAGCGTCTGTAGTTTTCGATCGTTTTGAAGATCTTTCGCAATTTGGGGATGCTGATGGCAACCGTTTGCCCCTGTTTTCAGGGTTATCGATTGTAGTTTTGGGAGTTGAGGGATCTGTTTGATTGTCCTTTGTCTCAACTATTACCCGGCTTATATCCTCGGCACTTTGAGGATTATCATTTTCAGATTTGGGAGTTTGAGTGTCTTTCTCCTCAACTATTATCACGCTTATATTTTCAGCATTTTAATTGGGGTTATTTGCAATAGCATTTCTATACTCTCTCAATTATTGGTAGAGAGCCATGACGTATACCAAGTTATCCTGGATTGTTCTATGAGTATTTTTGTAGCTTAATGCTACTGAATTTATTATGCTCAGTTTATTTCTCAGCTCAATAAAAGCCTTTTCTAGTTGTGTCTTCTGTTGCTACATTTGGGGTTGTATTATTTACCCTAGGTGGTGTCCGAATAGTTTTCGAACTATTAGCAAATGGATTATAGACTTCCTTTTCATTGGAGCTTGTAGTATTATCTACTCCTCTAGCCATGTTAGCCAACCGAGAAGTATTACGGTAATTTGATTTCGGCGACTGGGGACCCGTTTGCACGTTTGCCGGTACTGGAGTTATTAATTCCTGCACCGTAAGGTTTTCCCTATTGTTCTGCATTTTTCATTAAAAGTTGATTTACGTTTTATTTTCTCTCTTTCCGAAAGGATAATAATTCAGCCGCCCCTAACATGGAATCATACGCTGACCAGGAAGCCGTCCATTATGGATACTGTCGCGACTGGGTTTTTATAAAGTGATGTATAGTGCATATACACTAATCTGCTGGAGACTGTCCTCAGTTGGTCGACATATCCACAACATGGCTGTAGTAGCTCTGTATCAAGTCCTCAGCTCGGCCTTGATATACTAGGGTCTGCGGGGTTGTAAATCCCGTTAACCTATCAATAGGATACCCTTTGTCTTGAAATCGGTTTTTAGTCTCAACTGTAGTCTATAGTCTTCACATAGATCTAGTCTATAGGCTCGACTATAGACTGGTCATTAGATTCGACTGTAGTCGAGCTTACAGTCTAGGTTAAAGTATAGATTATGTAGTTTTTTGTTTTCATTAGAGTTTTCTCGTCTTTAATAGTCTGTAGTATCGACTATTTAGAGTCTTGTTTGAAGACTAGAGATCTGAGCTATAATTTATATTTTAGTATGTTGCTAATATCAGCAGTCGAGTATATAATCTAGACTGTAGTCTATTGTATAGTATAGTCTTTCTTAACTGTAGTCTAGTCAATAGTATCGTATGAAGCCTTATCTATAGCATTTTCTATAGTGGTGACTGTAGCCTAGTCGACTATATTTTGATCTGTAGTCTCATTTGTATCTTAACGTAAACACAGATAAGAGTAATTTGACTTCGGACGAACTATTATTGTGTGAATGACATATACACCCTTAGGATCATATTTAGAAACTAAGCAGTATTACATGGGACTTCCATAATGTTATATAAGCTCTTAAGAAATCTCTTAAATATGCTTTGTAACCCGAATTGAATAGCTCCATGATGGAAACCATGCACATAAATGAAATACATAATCCACTCGTCCTAGACAGCTCACGACTGGAAGAAGTCAGAAAATTTAATTCTATCGGTAGCATATTAACAATAACCGGGTGCTCCGAAATAGATATAAACAATCAGATGAAAAGGCAAGACAAGCATTTGGAAATCATCACATATTAAACGTAACGCAACTATTGGTCTAGTATTCCATTAAGTTTGTTTTCTACAATACGGCATATTACTCAGTCAGTTTGCTCTACCATACTCAATAGTCTTGTATATATCCCAGACAATATTGACTACTGCCCACTCAAACCGTCATTTGATAAAAGCTGTTCCGTATAGATCCAATACAATCCTAATGAAATGCAGTTGATTCTCCGTAATGGATCGTATAAGATCTATACTGAACGTACCAAACTAATGGTGTAAATGGTGGCTTTTATATAGTACATATTGGAACTGAAGTTTATTTCGAAATTCCTGATCAGTGCCGCGTTCTGCAAGTTGGACTACTCTAAGCGGAGCTTAAGATGGTATTTAAACATCATCCAATCTAGTCCTTGAATACCTGACATTAGATGAAGACACATTCCAATAAGACTGTTCTGAATTCCGGGTCATCAACAGATATTTGGTAATACCATTACAGACTCTCTTGTGAAAATTGGTACTTCTAAAGCTAGAGAAAATACCAAAATTTTTGTCGGTATTCCTTAATCCAGTTGCAAACGCTCAATTTGTGATACCTTGCGAAAACCAGTTGGTAAACTGAGGATACCTGTAGAATGGCGAAAATGTCGTGTCTGTCATATAACCCACAAAGATCATATGTCCACTACACATTCCGATAGCACAGCTATGAAACACAATTGCAGCGGGCATTGGCAAATTGTCATTTGGTCTTCATGCTAGAAGATTGAAACTACCAGGTTTCGACTTCTGCAGAAGCTGCCAAGATTAAAAGGAAGAAGAATATATCATTCACTTTTCCTGTTAATGTCCTGTACAGTCGGAACACAGTTTTAATACTCAAGGTAGAAATTTCTTGCACTCTAACAAATTTAACTGAGGTAAGACTTGAAAGACTTGTTTTTGAAATGGTTTTGCATATGATTCAGAGTAATTTTGTTAAAGTGTATTAGCGCCTACAACCTAAAATAAGCATCAAGGTTTTAGCAGCATTTAGGTGTATATTGCCCATCACTTACCTGGCTTTTCATAGGATCCGTATTCAATTGACACATATAGCCACCGCGATCCTCCTCTGTCACAGCACGTATATGTAAATTCCAAGTATTTTGATCTAAATGACTAACAGTCACCCGAGGATTATGGGTTATGACATTTTCGTGTATGGCTTGAATGGCTTTTGTGTCGGCTTTAAGCCAACCAACCTGGAAAAGAAAAAATAAATTTATTATGAGAAGAAATGCATAAAAAATCGGTAGAATTTCAACAAATGAGTTTGTTGAACTTTCCAAAAAAATAAAAAATCATAAAGCTTGCATTGACTAACTATCAACATAAATATAAGTATATGTTAATATGCGTGTGTGTGTTGGTATATACACCAATACATATATTTGAACATGTGTTTGTGACTATGTAGGTTTGTTTATTGTATAAAGTCGTTTCATATTGTTTTTGTTATAAATTTTTTGAAAAATGTCCAAAAATGATTTACTGCTACAACATGTTGTGGACTGACTCCTGTTTTTTTTTTGCTTTACTACAATTCCAGCCATTGTGTATATGTGTGAATGTCCTGGTAAATAAGCAAGTTTTTGTTTATTGTTTATATGTAGTAAGTACGTGTGTGGGTATTTGTGTATATGATATAATTGATGTGTTATTAAGTACTTTTTTTGTTGCTGTCGTATTTGTATGAATTCATAAGTGTGTGTTATAGTAGTAAAGCAATTATTTACAAAAAAAAAAAACTGCATATGAATATTTTATTATTTCAGTCTGTAGTGTGCGTGTATATGTGTTTGTGTCAATTTGTTGACTGCAGTTATATTGGTATGTTTGTTTGAAAGTTACTTACTCGATAACCTCCCAAATGTCGTACATAACATGTAAATGTGGCATCACGTCCCACGGGCACTGAGACATTCGATATGCTTTCAACGAATTCGGGTTGAAATGCAGAAATTTCTAAAATTAAAAAATAAACGAAATTTTAAATATTATAAATTTAATTGATTGAATGAAATTAAATTTAATTAAAGATATCAAAAAGAAAATGTATAGAAAATGTTAGGAAATTTTTTCTTTTCCATAGAAAATTTTAAGAAATTTTCAGTTTACTATTAAAAAAAAAATCACTTTTCAATAGAAATTTTTCTGAAAATATATATTTCCTATAGCAAATTTTTGGAAAATTTATATTTTCTTTAGAAAATATTTGGAAAATTTATATTTTCTATAGAAAATTTTCGGAAAATTTATATTTTCTATAGAAAATTTTTGGAAAATTTATATTTTCTAAAGAAAATTTTCGGAAAATTTATATTTTCTATAGAAAATTTTCGGAAAATTTATATTTTCTATAGAAAATTTTCGGAAAATTTCACTTTTCTATAGAAAATTTTCGGAAAGTTTCTCTTTTCTATAGAAAATTTTCGGAAAGTTTCTCTTTTCTATAGATAATTGTTGGAAAATTTCTCATTTCTATAGAAAATTTTTGGAAAATGACACTTTTCTATAGAAATTTTTCGGAAAATGACACTTTCCTATAGAAAATTTTCGGAAAATTTCTATTTTCTATAGAAAATTTTCGAAAAGTTTTTTTTTTCTATAGAAAATTTTCGAAAAGTTTCTCTTTTCTATAGAAAATTTTCGAAAAGTTTCTCTTTTCTATAGAAAATTTTCGGAAAGTTTCTCTTTTCTATAGATAATTGTTGGAAAATTTCTCATTTCTATAGAAAATTTTTGGAAAATGACACTTTTCTATAGAAATTTTTCGGAAAATGACACTTTTCTATAGAAAATTTTCGGAAAATTTCTATTTTCTTTACAAAATTTTCGGAAATCTTCTATTTTCTATAAAAAATTTTCGGAATGTTTCTATTTTCTATACAAAATTTTTGGAAATTTTCTATTTTCTACAGAAAATTTAAAAAAATTTAAATTTTCTATAGAAAATCTTCGAAAAATTTTTATTTTGTATAGAAAATTTTCGAAAAATTACTCTTTTCTGTAGAAAATTTCTCTTTTCTTTAGAAATTTTTCGGAAAATTTCTCTTTTCTGTAGAAAATTTTGGAAAATTTATTTTTTCTGCAGAAAATTTTCGGTTGTTTTTCTATAGAAATTATTCAGAAAATTTACATTTTTATAGAAATTTTTCGGAAAAATTCAAAAATGTTCCTTTTTATTAATTTTTACGAATTTTCTTTTTGCTACAAACTATTGTACTGCCAACTTAGCAGAAATGTATTTGCAAATGTCATCATCATTAGGAAACACTATAAATCATATTTTTTGGTCAATTGAATATGGAATCACACACTATAATCTTTAAAACTTCCTTTAAAAAAAACAACGCCAAGCTGAAATAGAAAAAAAATTACAACGTCTATATCAATATTCAAGTAATGAAAATAATTTTTTTTATTTTTTTAACAATTTTTTTTTTAAATCTACTATTACTCATTCATAGTAAATCGATTGAATATAATTTTCAACAAAATAACACAAAACTTGCATCTGTCTTTTTATTTTATTTTTTGTTTTAGTATTTTGGCGGTTACAAACAAAATGCAAATAAAGTTTTACTTGGAGATGAGTGAAAAAAAACGAACAAAATAAATGGAAAATCATCGAAAGAAGTTTCTGCAGCTTTAGGGTGTTATGAACTGTAGTTACATTGTGATAACATGATGATAGTAAATTATTTATGTTTGTTTTGGGGCGGATAGCAAAAACTTGCTACACACTTTGCCTGTATATTGTCTGCCAATTTTATAGAAAATTGTTTTTTCTCTTTTAATATAAAAATCAATATAAAATGTGTTTTTTGTTCAGTTTCGCGGTTTGCAAATTCATGATAGTTTTAATTTTTAAGGAAGTTTAGTGATTTTTTTAAGAAAAGTAATGCAAATTTATTCAAATTTGTGAGAATTTATTTTGATATTAAATTTATCTATTTCATTTAAATTTTCAAATTATTTCGGTAAATAATTTAATAGTAGAATATACAGGTAGTATGAGTGTTTAATATTAATTAAATATCGTTCATACGTTCAGTGTGCTAAATAAAATTTGTAATACATATTTTGAATTTTTGTAGATAAAAAATTCATCGACAATTTTCTAGACTATACTATACTAGGCATAGACTAGACTATAGACTAGACTATAGACTAGACTACAGACTAGACTACAGACTAGACTATAGACACTATAGACTAGACTATAGACTAGACTATAGACTAGACTAGACTAGACTAGACTAGACTATAGACTAGACTATAGACTGGACTATAGACTAGACTATAGACTAGACTATAGACTAGACTATAGACTAGACTATAGACTATAGATACTATAGACTAGACTATAGACTAGACTATAGACTAGACTATAGACTAGACTATAGACTAGACTATAGACTAGACTATAGACTAGACTATAGACTAGACTATAGACTAGACTATAGACTAGACTATAGACTAGACTATAGACTAGACTATAGACTAGACTATAGACTAGACTATAGACTAGACTATAGACTAGACTATAGACTAGACTATCTAGACTATAGACTAGACTATAGACTAGACTATAGACTAGACTATAGACTAGACTATAGACTAGACTATAGACTAGACTATAGACTAGACTATAGACTAGACTATAGACTAGACTATAGACTAGACTATAGACTAGACTATAGACTAGACTATAGACTAGACTATAGACTATATATAGACTAGACTATAGACTAGACTATAGACTAGACTATAGACTAGACTATATAGACTAGACTATAGACCTAGACTATAGACTAGACTATAGACTAGCTATAGACTAGACTTAGACTAGACTATAGACTAGACTATAGACTAGACTATAGACTCAGACTATAGACAGGACTATAGACATTACTATAGACTAGACTATAGACTAGACTATAGACTAGACTATAGACTAGACTATAGACTAGACGATAGACTAGACTATAGACTAGACTATAGACTAGACTATAGACGAGACTATAGACTAGACTATAGACTAGACTATAGACTAGACCTATAGACTACTAGACTAGACTAATAGAACTAGACTATAGACTAGATCCTATAGACTAGACTATAGAATAGACTATAGACTAGACTATTAGACTAGAAAAAAAAAACCTAATAGACTAAGCTATAGACTAGACTATAGACTAGACTATAGACTGAACTATAGACTAGACTATATAAGACGAGACTATAGACTATACTATACTAGACTTGACGAACTATAGACTAGACTATAGACTAGACTATAGACTAGACTATAGACTAGACTATAGACTAGACTATAGACTAGACGATAGACATAGACTATAGACTATACTATAGACTAGACTATAAGGACTAGACTATAGACCTAGACTATAGACTAGACTATAGACTAGACTAGACTGACTAGACTATAGACTAGACTATAGACTAGACTATAGACTAGACTATAGACTAGACTATAGACTAGACTATAGACTAGACTATAGACTAGACTATAGACTAGACTATAGACTAGACTATAGACTAGACTATAGACTAGACTATAGACTAGACTATAGACTAGACTATAGACTAGACTATAGACTAGACCTATAGACTAGACTATAGACTAGACTATAGACTAGACTATAGACTAGACTATAGACTAGACTATAGACTAGACTATAGACTAGACTATAGACTAGACTATAGACTAGACCTATAGACTAGACTATAGACTAGACTATAGACTAGACTATAGACTAGACTATAGACTAGACTATAGACTAGACTATAGACTAGACTATAGACTAGACTATAGACTAGACTATAGACTAGACTATAGACTAGACTAGACTAGACGAGACTATAGACTAGACTATAGACTAGACTATAGACTAGACTATAGACTAGACTATAGACTAGACTATAGACTAGACTATAGACTAGACTATAGACTAGACTATAGACTAGACTATAGACTAGACTATAGACTAGACTATAGACTAGACTATAGACTAGACTATAGACTAGACTATAGACTAGACTATAGACTAGACTATAGACTAGACTATAGACTAGACTATA